CTGTCACCGCTGCTCCCCGGACCTCTCCCTGGGGTGCGTTCTAACCGGACTCTCGAGGAGAATCCAGCCGTGGCGACGAGGGCCTCGCAGGAGGCCCCCCAAAGGCGAAAACGAAGCAAGGGCTGCGGAAGCAGGACCTCTCCCAAACCTCCGAGGTCATGGCTCTTCACAGCGTCGACCCCGCAGAGGTCGCCGCCCACTACCCCGGACAGAGGCTTTCCATCCCGAGCCGATGTCACTCGAACAAGGCATCCACCCATTTCAGGTGCCAGCAGCACCCTGGAACCGCTCCGGGGTAATTCACGTCGGTCGGAAGAAGTAGGCAAAAACATGAAATGGGAAGGAGGATAAAGTGGATTGGGTCCAGGCCCTCCCAGAGAACAACAAAATACAGCAAGAGAATGCCGACTCTTGAGGTAGGGAGGCGCTTGAAGTGGATTGGGATATGGGAGTCCCGAAATACCAATTTTCAACGACCGGCGCGCAATTGGAACCCGAAACAAGTGCTTTTCCATCTGGGCGCTCTCAGGAGCCTGAGGGGCCGCCTCTCGGGGAGAAGGGGGGGGCCAGCCCAAACATCGTCGTCTTCCATATGAGATCTCTTGCTGGTGAGCCATTTTCTCGCGGCCAGGGCTCCCCGCCCACTGTCGAGAGCGCCCAGATATAGATACTCACCCCGGAACGGTTCCAGGGTGAAAATCCATCTGGGACCCCCCCCAATGCAAAAAGGCGCTCTGAGAGATAAGAGGGGGAGTGCACCTGAGCCCAAATTTCTCGCCGCTGCGCCCCCCCCCGCCCAGTGACGGGCGCGCAGATGGAAAAAACATAGTTATACATATATATATATATACACAGATATATACACACATGTCACGTCGTATCCTATCCTATCCTATCCTATCCTATCCTATCATATCATATCAGATGGGGGAGCCTTTTTCTCGCGGCTGGGCCCCCCGGCCCAGGAGCGCCCAGATGGATTTTCACCCCGGAACCGTTCCAAGGTGAAAATCCATCTGGGATCCTTCCCAGTGCAACGTAGCGCTCTCGGGGATAAGGGGGGGGTGCGCCCGAGTCCAAAAATCGTCACCTTCCAGGCTCAATTGTTAGGACATCTTTTTCTCGCGACTGGCCCCCTCGCCCAGTGTCGGGAGCGCCTGAGATGAATTTTCACACCGGAACCGCTCCAAAGTGAAAATCAATGTTGGGCCCCCTCAATACAAACAGCCGCTCTCGGGGATAAGCAGGGGGAGGTGCACCCGAGTCCCAAAAATATGGTTTGCCAAATGTAAGCTATCATTTGGGAGCCTTTTTCTCGCGGAAGGGTTCCCCCGCTCAATGTCGCGGGCGCCCAGATGGATTTTCACTCATGAAAATCCATCTGGGACCCTTCCCAATGCATAGCAGCGCTCTCGGAGATAAGGGAAGGGTGCGCCCGAGTCCAAAAATCGTCATCTTCCAAACTCAATTGTTGGGAAACCTGTTTCTCGCGACTAGGCCCCCTCGTCCAGTGTCGGGAGCGCCTTAGATGGATTTTCACCCCGGAATCACTCCAAAGTGAAAATCCATTGGGGACCCCTCCCAATGCAAAAAAGTGCTCTCGGGGTAAGGGATGGGGCGCACCCGAGCGCCAAGAATTCCAACTTTCCAAAAGAAATCTCTTTTGGGGGCGCCTTTTTCTCACGGCTAGGCCACCCCGCCCAGTGTCGGGAGCGCCCAAAAGGACTTTCACCCCAAAACCGCTCCAGGGTGAAAATCAGTCTGGGACCATTCCCAATGCAAAAACCCGCTATCGGGGATATGGGCGCTGTACGCGAGCCCCGCAAAGCGCAATTTTCCATCTTAGCCTTTTCCTCGCGGCTGGGCCCCCCCGCCCAAAGTCGGGAGCGCTCAAATGGATTTTCACTCCGGAACCGTTCCAGGATGTAAATCCATCTGGGACCTCCCCAGTGCAAAAAAAGAGTTCTCGGGAAGAAAGAAGATGTGCACCCGAAGCCGAACGAATCACAATTTGCCAAATCTAACCTCTTATTGAGGAGCCTTTTTCTCGCGGCTGGGCCTCCCCGCCTAGCGTCGGGAGCGCAAAGACAAAAGATTTTCACCCCGGAACCTGTCCAGGGTAAAAATCCATCTGGGAACCCCTCCAATGCAAAAAAGCGCTCTCGGAGATACGCGGGGGCGTACCTGAGCACCGCACCAAAAATTGATATTTGTCCCTGGTGAGATCTCTTATCGGAGAGCTTTTTTCTCGCGGCTGAGCCCCCTTCGGTGGAGCTCCCTATGGGGCCACGAAGCGCTGTGTTGTGTGTCGTTGACGCATGCGGCCTGTGCTACTGGAGCCTTCGGTGGAGCTCCCTATGGGGCCACGTCACGTTGTCCTGGGTGGCATTGACGCATTCGCCCTGCAACACTGGAGCCTTCGGTGGAGCTCCCTATGGGGCCACGAAACGCTGTCCTGGGTGGCGTTGACGCATGCGGCCTGTGCCACTGGAACCTTCGGTGGAGCTCCCTATGAGGCCACGAAGCGCTGTACTGGGTGGCGTTGACGACTGCGGCCTGTGCCACTGGAGCCTTCGGTGGAGCTCCCTATGGAGCCACGAAGCGCTGTGCCACTGGAGCCTTCGGTGGAGCTCCCTATGGGGCCACGAGACGCTGTCCTGGGTGGCGTTGACGCATGCGGCCTGTGCCACTGGAGCTTTCGGTGGAGCTCCCTATGGGGCCACGAAACGCTGTCCTGGGTGGCGTTGACGCATGCGGCCTGTGTCACTGGAACCTTCGGTGGAGCTCCCTATGGGGCCACGAAGCGTTGTCGTGGGTGGCGTTGACGCATGCGGCCTGTGCCACTGGAGCCTTCGGTGGAGCTCCCTATGGGGCCACGAAGCGTTGTCGTGGGTGGCGTTGACGCATGCGGCCTGTGCCACTGGAGCCTTCGGTGGACGCATGCGCAGGCACTGTGACTGGAACCTTCGGTGGAGCTCCCTATGGGGCCACGAAGCGTTGTCGTGGGTGGCGTTGGCGCATGCGGCCTGTGCTGGATGGAGGGGCCACGAAATGGTGCACGCGAATGCATGCGCCTGTGCCACTCGAGCCTTCGGTGGAGCTCCCTATGGGGCCACGAAGCGTTGTCGTGGGTGGCGTTGACGCATGCGGCCTGTGCCACTGGAGCCTTCGGTGGAGCTCCCTATGGGGCCACGAAGCGCTGTACTGGGTGGCGTTGACGCATGCGGCCTGTGTCACTGGAACCTTCGGTGGAGCTCCCTATGGGGCCACGAAGCGTTGTCGTGGGTGGCGTTGACGCATGCGGCCTGTGCCACTGGAGCCTTCGGTGGAGCTCCCTATGGGGCCACGAAGCGCTGTACTGGGTGGAGTTGACGCATGCGGCCTGTGCCACTGGAGCCTTCGGTGGAGCTCCCTATGGGGCCACGAGACGCTGTCCTGGGTGGCGTTGACGCATGCGGCCTGTACCACTGGAGCCTTCGGTGGAGCTCCCTATGGGGCCACGTCACGTTGTCCGGGGTCGCGTTGGCGCATGCGGCCTGTGCCACTGGAGCTTTCGGTGGAGCTCCCTATGGGGCCACGACGCGTGCGAGGGGTACGCTGCCCTCGGTGGCGTTGACGCATGCGGCCTGTGCCACTGGAGCCTTCGGTGGAGCTCCCTATGGGGCCACGTCACGTTGTCCTGGATGGCATTGACGCATGCGGCCTGTGTCACTGGAGCCTTCGGTGGAGCTCCCTATGGGGCCACGAAGCGCTGTCCTGGGTGGCGTTGACGCATGCGGCCTGTGCCACCCTATGGGCCCACGAAACGCTGCCGTCGGTGGCGTTGACGCATGCGGCCTGTGCCACTAAAACCTTCGGTGGAGCTCCCTATGGAGCCACGAAACGCTGCCCTCGGTGGCGTTGACGCATGCGGCCTGTGCCACTGGAGCCTTCGGTGGAGCTCCCTATGGGGCCACGAAACACTGCCCTGGGTGGCGTTGACGCATGCGGCCTGTGCCACTGGAGCCTTCGGTGGAGCTCCCTACGATGCCACGAAAAGCTGTCCTGGGTGGGTGAAACGCAGGGAGTTGACGAGGCGGATGGGGGGAGGGAGGAGGGGGAGGAGAGGAGAGGAGAGGAGAGGAGAGGAGAGGAGAGGAGACGAGAGGAGAGGAGAGGAGGGGAGAGGAGGAGGAGAGGAATGACGCGGGGCGCTGTCTCTTCAAAACGAAAACCCAACACCACAGGACGGTTGGGAAAAAACCGCCGACCCGGTCGGCGTGTGGAATGGGTTGTTCGTCGTGGTTGTTGCCCTCGTACGTACTCGTCTTTCTGGATTCGTCGCCGCTCCCCCCCTCTTGCCCTGGGCCCTCGTCCTCAGGCGCGCCAGCCAAATCGAAATCAAGCAACCCAGCCAAAACGAAATTCTAGACGCTTCGCGTATCCCCACCAGCCCCTCGGTGGCTTGTGTGTGGCCGGCGTGTACGCTGGCGCTCACGCACTGGGTGTCAAGTGAGTGGATCCGACTCGCTTCCCCTTAGGTTGTGCTCTCCTTCTCTTCTCGCGCCTCCCTGCCTCCCCCCCTTTCAGGCTGGCGGTCGGTACTCCACCTGCGGGTCCGGCCTGGCTCCACCTGCTCAGTCGCGGTTGCCCTCTTCTGCTGGCACACGCTCAGCGGCTTTTGGGGTCCGCGATCTTTCGGCAGGGTTTCGGCTTGCCGTCATCGCGGTTGCCCTCTTCTGCTGGCACACGCTCAGCGACTTTTGGGGTCCGCGTTCGGTTCGCCCCCACCTGCGGGTTGACCCGTGGCCGCCTCTTTCTAATTATCTGCAGGTGCACTCTGCGCGGCGTCGCGCCAAATATCTGTCGCTGTGCCCCAGCCTCGGTCATACCGCCCTCTGGACTTCTCCTTGCGGGCCGCGAATCAAAAAAGTATCCCCACCAGCTGATTTGTCGCTGCGTGCCCCGCTTTGACTGGACTCGCCGCTGGCGCGCTCGCCTGCGGCCGCTGACAAAAAATC